ACTGAAGTATTAGAGGCACTGTCAAGATGCTCAACAAGGCTGGATTTTATTTTAGGAAACTGAATGAGAGAAATACATTTTACTAAAATGACACGATATCTTTTGACTATTTTTTGCCTAGTTCGTTGTGTTATTTTAAATGCAACATATAATATAGCAAATTAGTGCACATTCCAATAGTTACATTTGTTTTTGCTTTTATCTTAAACTGCATACTATAGTGCTAGCTCCCTAGCATTTTAGTAAAGCTTCTAGTTCAGGGATGGGCAAAATATGGTCTGTGGGCTGGATTTGGCCCACCAAGTGATTTTATCCATTCTGAGGTGGGTCCCTCAGCCCTGCCCAGCCCAGGTGCAGGGGACACCCTGGGCCATGGTGCATAAGGTTGGTCCCACTGCCCCCAGGCACGCAGTGGGGTGGGGTGGCACAGCAGCCAGATTTACTTCCTGGCAGCCCCAGAGGCAGTGGCTCCTCCCAGCTGCCATTCTCCACTACCACTGCTGGACCCAGCCCCACTGCCTGTCCACCCCGCACCCACTGCCAGGGGTGCCAGATGGAGTAGGTGGGTTGGGTCTCCATGTAGACCAAACGAGACCCTCGCAGGCAGCGCATGGTTGGCTGGGCAGGTGAGATGGGGCTGCAGATGGGTGGGGAGTGGCGTCTGGGACTGGGGCCAGGATCATGGGGCAGTGACAGAGCAGGACCATGCTGGGGGTGGATTGTGCTTCTGCCCTGGGCCCTGGCCCTGTGCTGTTACCACCCCACGATCCCAGCCCTTGCCCCAGTCCAAATGCTGCTGCACCTGCCCGCAGCCCCATCTCATTCGTGACTGAGCATGCCCTGCCCGTGGGGCTCCCGGTGGGTCTCCATAGAGACCCTGCCTGCCCGGCTACTCTGGTAATTTACCATTTAGGAAGTTTGGATGAGCTGTTGTGGGCAGGGGAGAGTGGTGGGGCTGCTGACCTGGTCCACAACAGCTCACCAAAACTCCTTAAGTGGACCTCCAGCCCAATCATTGCCTACCCCTGAGTTAGTTTCTCTTTAATGGAGAAAAATATGGTGTGTGATACGTGATAATGTGCTGCACCATCTGCATCCCCCCTTTTAAAATCCTAGATATGCTCATGCCCCTGAAACAATCAGGGGTAAAACTAAATTTGGATAATTGAATCAATGGGGGGTCAGGAGTTTACAGCTTATTGGGGTGGGTGGGGGAGTAGCTGGCTGCTTAATGCACACAAATTTCCTCAGCACCCAGTGGTGAGGCACAGTCATAGCAGCCCTCTGTGTGCTGCTACCCCTGGGTTGCTGCTCATTTATCCACTCTGAATCACAGTATCATTTACGCCAGCGTATGAAACCAATGTGAACCACAGTGGTGTATGTGCTGTATGCCCAGGCTCCAAATGGTCCCATCTGGCTTGAAAAATCTATGGAACAAGACAAAATGAGCAAAGACACATTTTCTAATAAAGACCTCTGATCCTGGGTGACCAACCTGAGGTACCTTTGACCTGATTTTCAGAGAGGCAGAGTAGCCATCATGCCAACAGACATCAATGGAAACCAGGAATATGCAGCCATTTGGAAAAAACCAGACCTGAACTGTCTCAAGCCATTATCCAAAATGGTAGATAGCTTCCAAAAATGTAATTATAGCCAACATGTGGGCAAGGACATAACATGAACAAACAGAACAAGAGAGACCTTTTGTTCTTAACTTCCTGGTCACAGGGATCTGAGATGTTAGTCACATGTGTTCAGGCAGAATGTCATGCCAACGGTACCTTGCCAGCAGTCACAAGAAAAGTGAATATGTCATAACACAATGTTCTAGGTCTGTGTCAGCTTCTTGGGAGGCTGTGGAGATCCCACATTGACTTCGTAGCAGCCAGTGCTGCTTGCCTCTGGGACTTATAGCATCAGCTTTTCCAAAGATGTCAGCTTCCATTTGAGCACCTACTGGCAATGAGCAAAATTTCAGGTGCTGCCATGCAGACACTTCAGTCGGGGACAATGCAAACTGCTGGGTGAGGAGGACTTTGGAAATTCAGCCACGTGCTTAGCTGTTGGATGCTGAGCTATTTGGGATATCAGGCCATTACAGCACCGCATTCCCGCTTCTTGGCCTGGCTTAATGAAAGGTGATGGTTTCACTCCCTCTGGCTTCTTTCTCTTCACTTCCACTGACTTCTCTGCGAATCACAGGTGTAAGCACCTCTCAGCCTCAGCCACCACAGGGCCTATTCCTCAGGGGTATAAATTCAGGCCCTCGAGCAAAAAGGCATTCATAATCCAAAAACAAGTGGCATCTGCAATAGCCCTCCACTGCCCCCAGACACCAGGGCAACTCTCTGTGCTCCAGACAACAGACAGATGAGGCACAGGTAAGACTCCTCTCTTCCCCGTTGTAAGGGACACAGGCCCTTCCCAAGGAAACTGTCCCCTGGGATAAGGTCACGTGCATGGCCTCTCATGCTGAGGGTCAGGCATTGGCCTAGGGAAGTGTGCATGCTGGGGGGAGATGAACTGTTCCATGAGCTGCTTCTTGTGGGAGACTCCATAAAGCCATAGGGCCAGGCACTCTGGGGACTGTTCCCTCTGTTCATTATAATCCCCCCAAACACAATCTGTGGCAGAGCTTTCCCTGCTGGACTACACGGGGCTCTTCCTCAGGGCTGACTTAATCTGAGGGGGCTTGCCCAAGACTGACACCCTTTCTGAGGGCTGCATTTAGCTCTGGGCTGTCTAAGGGCCAGCTTACCTGGGCTGGAATGACATCCTGATTGCCCCCTATGGGGGATCAGCCAGGCCTGCCCAGCTCATTCCTGCCCCTGCAGTCAGTCAGCCTTGCTGGAGTGACTGGCAGCACTGTCTCTGCCCTAGCCACTGCAGCAAGATGAAGTGAGGCCTCTACCTGGAGGATGACCCTGGGAGGGAGCTGGGTTTCACTGACGTACCCTATTGCTGTGTGGGCATCAGCACTGGCAGCTCCGTGATCCTATTTGCAGCTATTTGCTCTAATCCCTACTTGCTCAGACAGAGAATCCGATTTACTCACTGCTCCCTGGCAAAACAGCCACCTACCACATTGGCTCTGTCCTCACTCGGCACTCACTTCTCTGCTCCTCCCAGAGCCACCCAGGCACCGCTGTGGGACAGCCCGTCCATTCAGACCCGCACAGGCACAGCTATACCCCTACATCCTGCATGCACACACAGACCCCATGCTTATTTCCTATGCTTCTGCGCTTTGCTGCTGGCACATGGGGCTGGGAGGGAATTTCTCCACCAGGCCCCCTGCTCTGCAGGTACATTTGTCAGGGTTTTTGTTTAATGCCTTCTTCGGAGGCATTTGGTGTTGGCTGCAGACAAGGCTAGAGACTTTGACTGGGGTGTGCCAATGCTCCTGCTGGGACTAAAACCTGGAGGTTCCTGGCTAGGGTGCCTTGCCCCTCTGTTCAGGGTCAGACCAACTGTTGTATTTGTCGTTAAGAAGGCATTTCACCCTGTGGTGGTCAGGTTGACAAGGACTGTGGGGTTTTCTGCCTTCCTCTGTAGTGTGTGTGTGTGTGTGTGTGTAAGGGGGTATGACCTTCTTCCTGGGCTCTCTTGAGCCTATATTAACAACCTTTAGAGCAGCAGGACATTGGCTTCTGTGGGCCCCCTGCTTTACTGTGGCAGGTTGGGGTGTTATGTCTTGTATCAGGGTCGACTGTAGTTTTGCTAAGAGGTTAGTCAATAGATTTGTCTCTCAATAGGATGGTTTTGATAGGGATGATTGTGCCTCAGGCAGGGGGTTGGACTAGATGTGACCTCTCAAGGTCCCTTTCAGCTCTAGTTCTTTGTGATTCTCCGCCCACAAGCACATCAGCTACACCCTCATAGGCTACAACCCCCCTTACAGCCCACAGGCACTCCGGCACGCTCTGCCACACTCATTCAGACACATTCACTGTGCAGAGCCCTGTGCTGTTTGCTGGGGAAGCCACTCCTGCCTCCCGGTGTGTGCAGCAGTCCTTTACCTGCCTGGTGTGAGAGCGTGACACTGGGTTTCACCTTGGAGCCCAGAACCGGCTCCTGCAGAGGCTCTAAAGGGTGCTTAAAACTAGTTTATACGTCCAAATGGGTGAACAGTGCAGGGACTAAGAGCTTCCTGAGCCACCTAAAATTAAGGTATAACAAAGCCCTGAGAAACCAGCATCAATTAATCCTGGACATTCCCCTGGGGGGGCGGGGGGCAGCATGGCCCCACACTCCTGCCTTGCTGCTCAGACACCGCTTGGGTGTCCTCCAGACCGGCTGGTTGTGGCCCAGATGAACCCATTCCCTCAGCCCCCTTAGTCCTGTAAGTGCCCAGGCTAGGGTCTGTGCGCTGGGTCTCAGCCCGGGCAGGGGACAGATAACAAAGCCACGGGGCGAAAGCCAGTGGTCCCTACAGCCCCCTCCAGGAGACCCGGACACCCTCGGCCTGGGCGAACGCTGCCGATGCCCTGGACCCTGAAGGCTCTTTGCAGGTTGCCGGCGGCCCAGGACCCCGGCCCCGGGCAAGCAGAGCTTCGTCCCTCGGGCACGAGGCTGGCGCTGCCAGGGGCGGGGTCGCACCAGGGACAAAGGGAGAAGCTCCTTCCCCTTCGCCTCCCCAAGGCGCTGCGGCTCAGCGCTCTGCCGCGGGCCTGGCTCTCATGGCCCCCCGCACGTCCTGCAGCCTCGCGGCAGTTTCCTGCGGGGGGCTGCGGTGCGGTGAGGTGGGCGCGGAGCAGGGGCTGCCGGGCTGTCGGGGGCGGGCCGGACTGGCCGGGCGCTGCACGCGACTAGGCCGCAGCGCGCAGGGCGCTCCCACTTCCGCCCC